ACCAGATAAACTGTACAAACTTTGTCATTTGAACAATAAATACCGTTATTATAAACAGTACGTAATATATCTTCCTTATCAACAGTTTGGAACTGTGCAGTGAAATAGCTATATTTCGGAAACCGTTCGGAATACTACACATGTACATATACTTACAATTTTTTGCTTAAAATGACCGATACTGTGACCTCCCAGAATGTTGAATTTAGCTCCTTGGACACTCTGTATAAGGGAGACGATTTACGCTTGACTGTGTGTGCATGTTATTCGTGGTAGATTGCGTTAAAAGACCGCCTCGACGTATCATTCGTTAACATGTGGGACGGGAAAAGAATACGAGAGAAATTAGGGAAAGGTAATAGCACAAAACTTATATAACACGAGTGTTATCGTTGAATTCTCACGAGTGTTACACCAGTAAAATTTAGCCGAGAAAGAGGTAAGACTTGGGACATGAATTCGATAGATGCGCGGTTCGAATCTCAGCCGAGACACAAACTGTTCTGACTGAGGTTTCTCGTTCTATTCCTCACTTCCTCCAGACAAATACCGGTCTAGTATCTCAAACTAGTCCACGACCACTTCCTAACACATACTTTCCATTTCAGTATTCACTCGTAATCCTACCATTAGAAGCTGTGTAACCTGGGCTAATGTCAGAGTCCTTAAATACACCACCTTTTACCAGCCTTCTATGTCTTCATCAGCCGTTCCTTGGCAACGGCTTATAACAGTAGAGATTCTTCATCTTCACGCGCTCAGGTCCCATCTTCTCAGCCTCACGTGCAGAACTCAACTAACTCCCAGGCTGCCGGCCATTTAGCGCTAACCTCTTCATATTCACTTCAGAGGCTGACTTTCAACTGATCACAAACAAACTAACTGGGTCGCCCCAATTGCCTTAAAGATAACTCCTCGACACGGGCCGAGCAGAAAACACCGTTTCCAACAGTAACTCTGTTATTGTGGAGGTGTGTTTACTACGCCGTTGCATAACAACGGCTGATGTCTCGTTGTTTCTTTCGACGTCTTCGCCTAGCAGTGGGTCTATACGCCACAATATATATTGCGTCAATGAATTGGGCGATTTGGCATTTTCTCCTGGATTGGTTGGAATGGGGACAATAGCACTCCTGCCACCCAGTAGCCTACTTTAAAGCGTTTTAGTTTTAATACACATGAATACAGTGCAAACAAAACAGCATTTGGTTTTTCTCAATTAACTCACTGAGAACAGAAGTCTCATTCCCAAAAACAACATCCGACAGATGACCACCCTTCCGCTGTGGTCACTCGGTAAGTCTCTTCCTAAAGTCACTCATTGCTCTTTGCAGCATCTCTACGGGAATTCGTTCAGCTTACCGAATTGTGTGGGGTGCTGGAGCTTTGAAAACTTTGGATTTTAGATACCCCCAGAGAAAGAAATCGCATGTGGAAAGATCAGGTGCCCTGGCTGGCCATATGATGTCTCCATATCTGGAGATAACATGGTTAGGAAACAGGTTATTCACAGCTGCCATGGAAGCTCTTGCGGTGTGGCACGTAGCCCCATCTTGAACGTTTCTCCCTTGACTGGAAGACGAGCAAGTGCAGGAGCTAAGAAGCTCTCCAACATGTGAACGCAGCGTGGTCCAGTCAGAGTTACAGCCCTTTCCCACTCATCTGCGAAGAACTACGGGCCAGTAATTCCAAACGAAAATAACGCACACCGTACTGTGACTTTGGGACTGTGAAATGGTCTCTCATAAATTTCTTTGGGATTTATGGCCGACCAGTATCCGAAATTTTGCTGGTTAACAAACCCCGACAAATGGAAATGAGCTCTCACCGCTCATCAGTAAGTTGTCAACGACATCTTGGTTTTGATTAATTAATTGCAGAATGTCTGGCAGAAATCAGCTCTGTTTTCATAGCTGTGTTCTTGTAGTGCATGAGTAATCTGAATTTTATAGGGGCAGAAGTGGAGACCTTTGTGCAAAATCCGCCGAACGCTGGCTTCGGACAGCCCGAGTGATGTAGCGTGGCGACCCGCAGACCGGCATGGTCTTCGTTCAGTGGCTTCTCCACTGCCGCTATA